GTTTGCAAATGTGTATCAGACTGTGCAATCTCTCCATGAGTTGGTTTTGAAACCCAGTATGGGATTCTGAGATACATTACCAAGGATATTATTACAAGATAAATCATTTGCTTCATTGAACACATACAACAATGCATATTTCCACTGAGATCAGTGACCTTTGATGTGTATCACCAGTGATCAGTCAAGTAGAAACAGTCAAAATATTTTATCAGATTTTCTCAATTTTTGCATGATATTTTCATACAGGACATCTGTTGTTCAAACTCAGGGAAGACTTTATACTGATGAATAAGGTGACCAAGTTTGATAAAGTTTGGAATAGAATTAGTAAAGTTATTATGCACACAATAACAATCATTAACGACGACGACAACAACAACAACAATAACGACAACAACGCCGGACAAAATTTTTCCCTTAATATACCTTTCCCTTCCATCTTTGATGGTACGGGCAAGGTAAAAAGGGGTTCACACTACGCTGGGTATCATCACAGTCCCTCTATAGACCAGTTTCGAAACGGCTATTGTTCAAAGGTGTGAACGAGACCAAATATGAAACGATGTGCGATACGTCTTTCCGCGAAGCATGCTCAGTTGATCACTGTATCCTGTTTGCTGCACACCACACCTCTGTTTCAAAAGTCAATGATTTACATCCCGTCGAAGCTAGATTGTTTTGTTCATTGCTATTGAAACATATCAGTACTTATCGATCGGAGAGTGAAATTATATATATTTTTCCATTATTAGACTAACTTTTTCATCTTTAATGTTACGAGGTCAGTTTTTTTTTTTTTTTTGTGCCGGAAACACCCTTGACGCATTGTTCTTAGGGACCACAGATTATCATACGTTTTCAAAAATAGTCTATTTTCATTGTGGAAAATGGCACCCCTTCTCTACGTTTTGTCCCCGTATAAATACATCATTCTGTGAGAAGTAGTAGCTATCGAATTATTACATCACGACTTAGCACAGCTGTCTAACTGTGTTTCTGTCCATACTTCAATCGGTTATAAGTATTTTAATATCATAGAATTGAAGTTTTCTCGGTTTTTTAACGAATGTGTGTTGTTTGAGGGCGCCATCGTCAAGGCACTCGTCTGGAACATTTCATTATCACCCCTTTGTAAAGAATTACACTCTGTGTCCCAATTATTTGTTGTTATATGTCAAGATACAACTATTTAGGAGTTGGTCAAATACTCTAATATTGTTTTTGCGACTGTTTTGTCAGGATTTTCACGATGTTTTGTATTGTTTACATTTTGATCATTTGTGTTGTTGATTTCGAAATGTTTTACGTTGCCAGTCGATCCACAATGTCATGACTACTAATCAACTCTATATCAGGATCAGTAACCTAAGTTTCCTCCACTTTAGCTGCCTCTTCCATTTCGAGAACAAAATCCCAGTCAGAGTTGTTATCGTCAAAATCTACAAAGTCTCTATACACTTTCCGTGGCATGGTTTAAATGTTTTGGTTTAAAGAGGTCACGAACGATGTCTATGCACTATGCATGGGTTCGAAGTCAGGCGCTTTGCATTCTGGGCTTATTAACATGGCTGCAATCCGTCTCTGGCTGCAATCCGTCTCTGCCCCCAATGATAATTTTCAAGGGAACTAAAGTTACATCTCAGCCTTATTTTGTTGTAGCTGCCCAAAAGCCTGGATGGAAGAAAAGTTGATGTTGTGTTGGATTGACAAGATCTAGGGGCCATATACCAAGCGTCGCTACTCAATGCTTGTTATCGATTCATTTTGATAGCACATCACTGAATCCAGATATCGCGGTGTGAACACTTTACATCTAAACTTCGGCAGTTAGATTTTTGTTTAATAAGTTTAATAAGGGACAACTGCTATCAAAGAAGTACAGGCCAATACTACCAATGACACTCAACTGAAAACAGCCGACTATAGTCAATTGGATTGTCAATGCCTGGGTGAAAAATTACGCAACTGCTCGTCCAAGATCATTCATGCTATAATAATGATGGTGCATGTCGAAACATAGAAGGTGGATACATATATGAATGCATTGCTGGATTTGCTGGTGATGTTGACGTTAACGAGTGCGCCAGTAATCCTTGCCAATTACGCAACTGCTCGTCCAAGATGAATGGCGCCGAAGATCATCTCATCAGAAGTAACAAAGAAATAGTTATCATTTCTGTTTTACTGTTGAATGACAACGATGGTGACGACTGGTTTGAGGGATTCACGCAGTCAGAGCTGCATAAGTAACCATCTCTTCCTTGTACCGTCTAATGGTAATTTAAACAAAAAAGTTCTTTTCAAGGCCACCACATCGCATGAAAAAATAAATGATTAAAGGCCCAATTCACTTGCCCCGGGCAAGTGTGAATTGGAGGTGTGACTATGCTAATGAGTGCTTAGCCTATGACACATTCTGTTTCAGCAGTCCAACATAACGTGACTTTGATTGACAGTAGTTAATTATTCAAGATTAGTCGCGCATCCCTTTCCCCAGTTCCTGTTTTTTACTTTTATCCGCCAAAATCTCAACTCATACACTATTTATTGTCATAAATACTACACACAGTCACTGCTGTGATATTCATAGTCACATACATCCATTTTGGCACGACATAATCGACCTGTAAGTTAGAGAAAACGCGTTTTTACCGGAGCTTGGCTGGAGCTGTTTACTACAGTGTGACAAGCAAGGAAATAATCCCTATTGTTTAGGAGCGTATTTATAGTATACCTAGGCCTTTAAGCAAGTGTGTGTGTAAAAATTTTACAAATGAGTTTTTATATATTTTTGTTTTTTTGATACAGTGTGTACACAATTTGACAATTTCTCTGTGGGTGGTACACAATAGTGGCATTGTCTCTTGAAATGACTTATTATTTTTTGACAATTTCTCTGTGGGTGGTACACAATAGTGGCATTGTCTCTTGAAATGACTTATTATTTTTTGACAATTTCTCTGTGGGTGGTACACAATAGTGGCATTGTCTCTTGAAATGACTTATTATTTTTTGACAATTTCTCTGTGGGTGGTACACAATAGTGGCATTGTCTCTTGAAATTGTGGTACTTATTATTTTTTGTTGCATTTGGATTATCAAAATTACACTTGATTTAACAGAAGGATTATGGTAATCTGGTTTTAACTTCTCACAACACACAAAACATCCTTTTTCAGGGCCACATACATCCTCCAAAACGGGATATACCGTACCTAAATGTGTGTGTGTGTGTAAAAAGTTTTGTTTGGCGTCTGACGAACTGAGTAGAAAAATAAAATAAAACGGTTTGATTAGACACATCTTGATTATTTGTTAAAATATTAATTGCTTAGTCTAGCATAGCAATGAGTCGGTCAAGTATGGTAATGAATTTCCCACAGTGCTAGATTGAAATCAAAGACAATTCAATAAAAATCAATATAGATCACAGAGCAATTGAAGAACATATACTTACAGGGACTGA